CCTTGGATAGTGGCTTCCCAGCCACCCAGGGCCAGCCCAAGGCTCAGGCAAGCCTTGGATGGTGGCTGTCCAGCTGCCCAGGGCCATCTGAAGCTCAGGTAACCAGAGCCAGCCGAGGCTTGTGCTTCCAACAGTGGCAGCAGCAGAGGTGTGATGGGGCGTCACCTGCCCCGGATCACCAGGTCACCTCCCACCCCTGAGGGCTCCCAGACTGTGAGAAGGAGCAGGCTAGGCTGAGGGACTGCCCGCCTCTCCAGTGCATGAATTGTCATGCACTGGGCCTCTAGTGTTTAATAAAAACTTTCCACCCAGACACCATGGGGCATTTTGTTCTCGAAGATCACCTGCACTCACTTCTTAAGTGCATACTATTGCTTTAATAAATTTATTGTGCTTTGCTAAATGATTCTGTAATATTCCCAAATCCTTTCTTGGGCCATGGTATGAACCTGGACCCTGGTATTGAGTTGAGGCCTCCCTTTGTTATATTGTAAACCAGAAGACGCCTTAATAAGCCAAATTAATTTGGAGTCTTTTATTATTACGCTAGTACTAGCGGGCTCAGAGTAGAGTGTCTCTGTCAAATTCTGGGCTCCAAATAGAGGAAGTCTTTCCTATTTATACTTTTTTCAGTTCTTTGTCTTCCAAATTTGGAATGAGACTTCCGGACCTTCTGAGAAAGAGGTCCTGTGTGCTGGGAAGGAGCCGTGAGACCACATCTCAATGTCTAGCCTGGCACCAGCACTGATAGTTCTATCTGGAACATAGTTTATGGCCTCTCTGGAATGGGAGTAGTCTTATTTTTCCCTATTATTTAAGCAAGCAAACATTTACTGAAGCCAAAATAGCAGGGTTAAAATTTTAAACAGCAGTTTTTACCCAAGATGGAGGTTACTATGCTTCACGTTGGCCTCCCCAGGTACCACATGGCCACACTAGGGTAACATGCACTGGAAAGGACAGAAGCACCAAGAGTAGGACAAATGACTTTACAGAGTGGCAGTCACTAGCTCACCTGTATCTAGCAGTATCCTTTCGGTTTTTCATGAAGAAGTGTTGGGAGCATAAGGACAGCAGGACTTCTAACCTCAGTGGCCCTATGGCCTGGTGGGCTGGGCAGCCATGCTCCCAACTTGCTATGCTGGCCTGATATTGGAAGAACTCCTTCTATGCTTTAAACCATAGCTAGAGGACAAACTTCAGGTCTGTCTGCCCTACAATTCTGGCTGCATCCTATCTAATAAAAGACAAAGATGCAAATTGACTGTACCTTTGCAATGCCCACCAGCCAATCAGAGTGATATGCAAATTAACCGCCAACAAAGATGGCAGTTAATTTGCATAATGCAGGCAGGGCAGGACAGTGGGAGCTGCCATCCAGGACCCCGTGTGTGGCCCCAGCTGGCAGGGCTCAGGCGGGTGTGGTGATCGCAGGGGCCCTGCCCCGTGTGCAGCCCCGGCGGTCAACGGGGCTCAGACAGCTTGATCAGCGAAGTGGGACTGGGGATTGGCGAATGGGCACAAGGCAGACCTCCTGGTCCTTCCCCCCAGCCAGCAGACTCCTATAAATCTTTACTTTCTACTGAAAGGAATGTGGCACCTCCAC